CTCAGTTGGTAAAGGCACTTGCCACCAAGTCCTACCATCTTAAGTTTGACTCAGGACCCATATAGTAGAAGGAGCAAACTGACACATACAAGCTGTCTTATTTCTGGCTGCCCCTGCCAATCTGTTAAATCTTCAAGGCCAGTATAATGAATGAATCATATTCCATTCTTATGACGTGTGAGTTTCATATTCTTATTCTGACACCGTTAAAGCTTTCCACTTGAAAATAAAATTTGCTAATAAGTAAAATGGTAGTGTAGAGACATAATAAAATCCCAAAAGAGATTGTGAATGTGAGGGACTAGTCCCGACTAGTATAGTCAGAAGACTTTTACTCTGCATGACCTTGTTATATGCTTTTGGAGAAGAGAGAAAACCTTATTTGTTTCGAGACATTTTTCAATGTATCCTTGGTACTCACTTTGTAGACCAGGCTGGCCTTGAACTCAGAAATTCACCTGCCTCTGCCTCCTGAAGTGCTGGGATTAAAGGTGTGCACCACCGTCAGGCAGGAAGAAAGTCTTCAAAGTCCTTTTCCCACCCTCAGTTGTAAGCAAAACTTTTCATAATTGGTGAGGGTTTAAACCACTGATTCTCAACCTTCCTAACACCTCAACCCTTTAATACAGTTCGTCATGTTGTGTTGGCCCCCAACCATAAAATTATTTTGTTTCTACTTCATAACTATAATTTTGCTGCTGGTAGGAATTGTAATGTATATTAAAATGCAGAACATTTGGTGTGACCCCTTCAAAAAGGTCTTTCATCCCCAAAGGGGTCAAGATCCACAGGTTCAGAACCATTTGTTTAAATCATCTCTAAGTTCTCTTGGGTTTGAATGTCTTAAACGTTGATATCAGTTAATGTTGGAAGGTGTCATAAAGTCTGTAGTCATTAGATTAAAATATGAATGGATGATTTTAGTTGTATGTGCATACAATGCAAAAAACTCATTTTTGTCTTTTGAGAAGAACCCTTTCTCATGGAGAGCATGATTGATTCTGAAGTGAAGTCTGTCAGTTGAATAAGTAGAGTTTAGGCCTTGATAAAAAGAGGTGTGTTACTAAGAGAGCCCTCCTCACTCCTAAGGCTTCTCCACATTCTCCGTGTGTGTGTGTGTGTGTGTGTGTGTGTGTGTGTGTGTGTGTGTGTGTGTGTGTACGTGTACATGTGTAGACTATATACATTATACATATAATGCATATATACACATATTAGCTAGAAACAAATTTGTCTCAAAATAAAAATACACAGTGAACCACGAGATTAGGAACACAGAATAGCTAGGGAATTCCATTAGATACCAAACAGGTTTTGTTGTTGTTGTTGTTTTGCTTTTTAACCTGTAAAATCTTAACACTATTAAACAAATATGAAACTCACAAGAGTTCAATTTTTAGATTATTAATTTGTCCTCTTGGTAAAAGGAGAGCCTGACTTGCTCCATCTTTATAAAATACTGTTTATGCTGAAGTAGTAGTGACAGGAGGAAGCTAGCTCAGAGCTGCTGCTGTAAGAGTTGAGCTTGAAGGAGCAGACCTGTAATCCAGTCTTGGGGGAATTCTGAACATTCTGGCCATCAAAAACAGCACTCCCAGCTAAAACTAAAAATTGCTATGATTGCTATGTCCTATGCTCTAGGCATCAAAGCCTTAGCCTCCAGCTCCTTCTGCTGTAATGGTGATTTTATGTTGAGTGGGGGAACCTAAGCAAAAATATTTTGTGGTACTAATAGCAAATAAGACTCATAATCTCTAGAATAAATGTCTCAAACCATTTGGAATCACAATTCCAAAAGATCCTGAAAGGTGGGAAACAAGAATAAGTCAAGTCAGGCCTATAGAGTTGGCTGCTCTTCCAGAGGTCCTGAGTTCAATTCCCTGCAACCACATGACAGCTCACAACCATCTACAGTTGGGTCTGATGCCCTCTTCTGGCCTGCAGGCATACATGCAAACAGAGTACTCATAAATAAAATACATAAATACATAAAATGAAAACAAAAACAAAACTAATGCCATTGTATGCTGAGAAAGACAGTTTGGCAGAGTTACTATGCTGCTGGTCTCATGTCTGCACTGTGTCTTAGAATGCTCACTTGTGTATGGTTCCTAGGATGATCTGAAGGTCAAGAGATGGAGAAGTGCTTGTTAGCTAACCCTTTCTTGTATGTCTGTTTGTTTAAAGACTGAAGTGCTAAGTTGTGAGGACTACTTGGTATAGGCAGCAGGCAGCTGGCTCTGCAGTGATAGGTACAGAGTCCACTGTGCCCCACACTCCAGTAGTGAATGAAGCAGGCAAGCTCATGTGGATGCATTCCAAACAGATTAGAAAAGCCATTAGTGACTGTTGATGGCAAGGTGGATTTTAGTCCATTCTGTAAACAAAAATATGCATTACACTGGCCTAACAAAGGAAAAGAAAATTAAATTTAAAATATCTGAGAATCTGATATTTCTACTTGAACTTATAAATATGCTGGGCTTAGTGTATCTGTCCACAAAATAGTAGTAGTATCTGTTTCATCTATATATTTATACCTTCAATTAAAAGCTAAATGAAGATAGCACGATGACTTCTGGTGCTGAAAATAATGACCCAGAACTCTAAACTGTCCATAAAGGGCTTTGTGGGCTTTTTGTTTGTTTGTTTGTTTTTGTTTTTGTTTTTTTCAAGCCGGGGTTTTTCTGTATTGTTTTGGAGGCTGTCCTGGAACTTGCTCTCTATACCAGACTGGCCTCAAACTCTCAGAGATCCGCCTGCCTCGGCCTCCCGAGTGCTGGGATTAAAGGCGTGTGCCACCAGATCCGGCTCATAAAGGGCCTTGGATAGCCAGTTATTATATCCATTTAACAGTAGGCAACATAGGCCAGGGTTGTGCCTAACAAGACCTTTCCTTCCAGTTGCTATCCATAGAAAGCCATTGAACTGCCATGGTTTTTGGCACTCAGATCTTATTTTTATCAACCTAAGTGAAAAGAAGAAAGGTTGGTATTAATTGTCTATTTATTATATATAATACTTAGCATCATTTTCTTTTGCATGTTTTGAATCCTATTTTAAGAGGGTTTGTGCATTTTTTTTTTTTGTACAATGTTAACTTGCATTATTATTATGTGCCTGTGGAAGAACTGGGGGAAAAAACCTTAAACTTGACTGGCCAGAAATCAAACTTTTATTCTTGCTGTCTGTTCAGGAAGCTGTGACACCCACTTCCATTCTCCTGCCAAATGTGTCCCTTCTGTGTGTTGGGTGCATAGACTTGAAGCATTGTTGGCCATGTTGGCCATTTGCCCAGAACCCAAATACCCTGTATAATTTGCATACTAATTATCATTGATTTGCATGCAGTATAGGCTGAACCGTCTCCCTGAATTTAAAGTAGAAAGATACTCTAAAGCTTAAAGCCACTTATCCTTTACTACTTCTCTTTTCTAGAGTTAAAGAAGGGATCATAGCTGTGTGTTTGTAGGCCCCAGTCAGTTTCTATGGGCCTTTGAATTTCTAAGATGTTGTCCAAATTTCTCTTTCCTGTGTTAGGCAGTCTCTCAATTTGCTTTCTTTCTTTCTTTTTTTGTTTGTGTATGAGAGGTGAAGTGTTGAGACAGGGTCTGCCTATGTAGCCCTGGATGTCCTGGAACTCTCTCTGGACCTCAGGCTGGCCCTGGACTCACAGAGCTCCACTTGCCTCAGCCTTCTGATTGTTGGTTTAGTGTGTCATCAGTCATAGTTTACTTTCTATAGATATTCAACTCCAAGTTGTTTCCACCTCGAGCTCATGCCCCTCCTGCTCTGATCCTGCCTTTCCCTCTTCTTATCTTCAAATTCTTGCTATGCAGCCCAGGCTGACCTTGCACACTCTGTCCTCCTGCTTCAGACTGCTGGTCTCCACTACAGCTGACACTCTTAGTTTCTATTCTTCGTATCATGTTCTGCTCCAATTTTCTTCCCCTGGTAATGATGAGAGGAGTCATTTTCTCTTACCACTCTGCTGTGTGTCTAACGGGAAGTAGTAAATGCTGCATGCTGAGGAAGTGGATGGTGAGGGAGTTCGTGAGGCTGCGTGAAGGTGAGCTTTTACTGGTAACTGCTAGACCATACTGGCATAAGTGTTCTTATTGCCAGATGCCCAGGATGGTCAAGTTGGTTTCTTTTCTCCTGTCTTCCCACTCTGATTTATCTGACAAGTATTTTTAGGACATGTTTAGCAGTGTTCATTCTACAGTATCTTCAGAGACCCTAGATGAGACAAAGTCTAGAGTCTACTGTAGGATTACCGAGAAACTTAATTTTCTCTGTTTTAAAAAAATGAGAAAAGAATAACAAGTAAAATCTTACCTGGCTCAAAAAATGTTTAAAGTCTTTAAGGGTATCCATTATTTTATCTGTTCAGTTCATCATCCTTCACAGTCAATAAATCCTTTTGAAGTAGTTATTAAACATATACAAGTGTATATTCAGACACACACAAAAGGACACTGTATCTAGATAGATACATATGGTCAGACACTATCTCTCTAGGTACAGTGGGTTTGAACCTCTTTGTATTGAACAAATCCTGATGCTTATTCCATTCAAGCAGATAGAATTTCTCTATTTACAATCACATAAAATTAAGTTGTATTGATTCTCTGTGTTTTAACCATTCTCAGTGACTGATTGATACTTGACTTTTCTCCCTGCAAACATGAGTATTTGAAGTTGGAAATCAAACTGTGCTCACTCTAGCAGCCCCATATGGGAACAACCAGGGGCACTGGTGACCATCAGCATGACAAGGGAAGTGGCAGAGTGCTACCCCAGGGTTTTATACCGATATTACCCAATCTAAGTAAACAACACTTTCCGACATTACAGGTACCACTATTCTATCTTTTCCAGATTATTTCTGAAAAATTTACAAGCTCCAGTGATCGTTGCTTATGTTGTCCTTTTAAAAACGTAGTATTTATTTACATTTTAAAAACTTTCTTTTGTTTTTGCCTTTTTTTTAAAACTAGATCCTTACAATAAATGAGGATGGATCACTTGGTTTGAAAACCCCTAAATCTCACGTTTGTGAGCACTGCAATGCTGCCTTTAGAACGAACTATCACTTACAGAGACATGTCTTCATTCATACAGGTATTGAATAAAAATGGGCTTGCGGCCATTAAAATTATTATCATTATTTTCATCTCCGTATAAATGTAATCCAGTCTTAAGACTATAGCTAACTTGGCATTGTCAATCAGAATTTGTAGCCAGACTATCAGGAAGAAACCAAGAAAGACTTTAAATGAGCAGACAATTAGCATGGATGTATACATTTAGTAGTGATAATTGGGTGCTTACCTGGCTTAAAGCACTTTTTTAACTCAGAAACTGCTTGAAAATGTACTAAGAACCTATGGCATTCTTTCTGTGCTAGATGTATAATCAGCACAGGTAATGTTTGGACATCAAATACTAGAAATGATAGCTAACCAAAGTAGAAGTTAAAAATTGTGAAATTGTTGAAAATAGAACTAAAGATTGATTCTACACCTTTGGAAAGCAAGCTAGAAATGTTAGATGACTTGGCAGGTAAAGGAGAGGGAGTAATGAGGGAGAGTTGATGAACTAGGAAATACGGTAGCAGCCAGAAGCCAAAGGAGAGAGGATGCGAGGAGGCTGAGGAAGGGCCACACCCTCAGAGGATAGAGGGTGGTGGGAATCTGTGGATCGAACACCAACGAGATTGTCTCTGCAAGGGTCTTGCCACAGTGGGTGGGGAGGCATCTGAGACTTGAGACTCCTCTGGTAAGATGTGATGGGGCAGAGAGGGAAGGTGTCAAGGAGCGTTGTCCTATTGAAGCAAGGCTTCCCAGTGGAACAGACCCCCAGCGCTCTGAAATGAAGATGGAAGGCTTTTATATAGTTCTGAACTCTCGAAGAAGATAGGTAAAAGGGCACAGAGATAGATGGTCAGCCACAGAACAGGGTGAGCATGCCATCAGATAAGGAGAGGAACCTGTGGCTTTCCTTCTCTTTTTTCTTAGAAAAATGTAAATCATACTTTATTTTTGTGTAATTGTGAAAATATAAAATTTTAAATCCTGGAGGAAATTTTTTTTGGGAAAATAGAACTGTTAATGAAAAATGCTTTTTAAAATCCTATGGTGTTTTAGAATTTTTCAAGATTTGGGCTTCTAAGGCTTACATATCCTCAAAGTAGTGACTTAAAATGTTGTTTTATTCATTAACTAATGCATGGATGTCAAATTATTTTAAGGCGAAAAACCGTTTCAATGTAGCCAATGTGACATGCGTTTCATACAGAAGTACCTGCTTCAGAGGCACGAGAAGATCCATACCGGTGAGTGCTGGTCGCGCCCTCCTCCTTAAGCTCTGTCCCACCGAGAGAGGGAAGGTTCTAGTAAGGTGCATGGCCTTTGCCACTCTAGTCATTTTTGTTGCATAAAACCATCAAGCTCGGCCTGTCCACTTTCTCTCCTCAGTAAACCAGTGTTTTAGACCTAGGCTTCAATGTCATGTTTCAGTGGATTTTTTTTTGGGGGGGGGGCTTGATTTGAAACAGGATTCTCTGTATTGTTTTGGAGCCTGTCCTAGAAGTAGCTCTGTAGACCAGGCTGGTCTTAAACTCACAGAGATCCACTTGCCTCTGCCTCCCGAGTGCTGGGATTAAAGGCGTGCAGCGCCACTGCCTGGCTGAAGTAACTGTTTCTTGAGCTAAGTAAAAATATCACTCACACTAGTTAGCTTGTGAACTATTGCGTTGTTTGTAAACACTGGAGCAGTAGCACCCTTTATATCTCTACTTTATATGGCTTACTGTATCAAGAAAGACACAACTACCAGTGTCTCCATCAAGTAGTATGATTTACAAGCAGGTACTTTGGAAGGTCACTTTTTAGTTTATATGTCAAAATTTTAAATCTTATTTTAAAGCAAGTATATATATTTTTAAAAATATTTTAAAACCAAGTTTTATAAGTGACTTGATTTAGTAGACTGTTGACTTTTCTCCTTTGATATCCCTAAGCATTGTAAAAGATGGTTTTTTGAAATTGATTTACAGTGTTTTGGGGGTGAGTTTGTGTGTGCATGTGGGGGTGGGGAGAGAGAGAGTTGGTAAGTCAGTAGAACTGTAGGTTTTATACTTCAATGGAATTGAGAATGCTGATGAAAATACACTAACATTGAAAAGATTAAGCTCTTTATATTTTTCTGTATCACTGCTCAGTTAAGTAGTTTCATAGTATGTGCAGAATTTGTGAATGCGATTCTTAGATTCTTGGACATGGTGTCCAATTGAAACAACCTTTGTTATCAGTAACTTCCTGCATCTTTGTTGCCATCAGGAAGAAGCCTGAAGGTGACTGTTCTGATGCCACTCAGTGCCAACTGTGCAGCGTATCTGTCTGCAATTTTGGTTTCATTTTGAGACAGGGTCTTGTTCTCTATCTAAGATGGCCTGGAACTCAAATCTGTCCTTATGGCTTAGCCTCCTGAGTGCTGGTGTTATCAGCATGAGTCACTATGCCTGGTTGGATGTTCTACGCTTTCAAATACTATTTTGAATATCACTAAGTAAACACCACTTTCATATATACAGTGGAAGAACAAAATGTGCAGATTTTATGTGGCTAAATAGTTTTGAAATTTCAATGTAATAATAAAGCCATCAGATAAAAGGTGACAGTAGTTAAATATTTTCATGCGTTGATTAGATTTTGATGATTTACTCATTCAACTAGGGATTGATCCCACAATGTTTTTAGGTACTAGGAGTACACAGACTGTATGGAAGGGTCTTGTGTTTTCTTTTGTTTTGGAGATAAGAAACATATAAATAAGTATGATGTAATTAAGTGTTATAGGTTTCTTGAGAGTTACTCAGGGAAAGCCTCAGAAGAACCACTGAGGCTAATCTAAAGTAAAACCAGTGTATGAATGGGATCTGAAAAACAGGACATCATGCTTCTCCTTACGTCACTCTAATCCTAATCCTGACATTCACTGTGGTGAACTCTTAGCCCTGGTCACAGTCTTATAGCTCTGTCCTCGTTTCAGCCCAGCTCCAGGCTGCAGCCTCTCCTAGGCAAGCCAAGGCAGCAGGGAGGAGAATGCAGGCATGCTGGGTCAGCACTCTCTAGAACCAAGCCACCCAATGGTGCTCCTCACTTTTAGGCTGGGCCTTATGAAAATAATTTTAAAAATCCCCCACAGGCATGCTCACAGATCAACCTGATCTGACAGTCTCTCATTAGGGCTCTCTTCTCAGGTCGTCTAAAGTGTGTTACGTTGACTGTTAAAGCTAAGTCACACCTACCGATTGAGAAAGCACCTGTGCTAGGCTGGATTTGAGTATGACGAGTAGTTTATTGAGAAGTCACTAAGTAGCAGGGACTGTCTTGAAAGGCAGGAGGTATTCCTGTCCCCATTTTGCTGGTCCCACATTTGTATTGGGAAGTGGAGAGAAGCTGAGGACTTCCTTAACTTTCTGCAGTGTGGTCAGTGACATGGCCCAGACTACAGCTCAGGCTCCGTCCTGTCACTCAGTCAGTTATGTCTTACATTCTCTGTGTGTTTAGAAGGAGTGGAAAGCAAAGACCAGAGTCCTTGAGTTACCAAAAAGCAAAAACTAAACAAAACAAAAAACCAAACAAACACAAAACGAAACAAAAACAGCTTAGAAGAACATAAGGACTCCAGAGGAATTACAGCAAGGCAGAGTTACTAGGATTTCTTCTCAAAGAAACCCCCTCCCCCTCCCCTACATACGTGTGTGTGTGTGTGTGTGTGTGTGTGTGTGTGTGTGTGTGTGTGTGTGTGTGTCTGTCTGTCTGTCTGTCTGTCTGTCTGTCTGTCTGTCTGTGTTACAGTACATACCCGGACATTATATAGAGAACAACTTTCTAGACTTGCTTCTTACCTTCCATCTTATTTTGAGGCAGTCTCTTTTGTTTCCGCCATTGTGTTTTGTATTTTAAGCTCTTTGTTTCCGCCTCCCATCTTGCAATAGGAGGACAGGACTTACAGATATGTACTACTGCATCTGGCTTTTATGTGGGTTTGGGTAATTGAACTCAAGACAGGCTTGTACTGCAAGCACTTTTACCAACTGAGCCATCTCTCCAACTCCAGAAGTTTCTTTTGAAGGAGCACTTTCCTTTATTCTATTGTCCTTCCCTTTGCCAGTCCCCCATCACATTTCCTATCAGGAACCAATAAAAGAGGAACCAATTTTTCTTCTTTACTTAGTATTCCATTCCTTTTGTAGATTGGTTTTAAGGACAGGAAAATTTTTTTGAAATCATATTACCTATTTTTTAATACATATGAAAAGTATCTCTGCTCTGACGTTCTACTTTGCTTTCTATTGGCAAACTCCACGACCAACAGCAACCAGTAACTTAAGGCAGGAACCTGGAGTCAGGAACCAATACAGAGACCACAAAGCAATGATGTGGTCCTCTGGTTGCTTCCTTTGGTTTGTCAGCTACCTTTTTTATACAGCCCACACCTACCTGCCCAAGGATGTCACTGTCCACAGTGGGCTAGACCCTCCAGTCTTAGCAATTAAGTAAGTGCTCACTGATGTGCCCACAGGCCAAGCTAATGGAGAGTTCCTCAAGTGAGGGTCCCTCTTACTGGTTATGTTTAGGTTTGTGTCAAGTTTATAAAACTATGACATATGCTCATCTGCTTTTCACTTGTTGAATCAGAAATGAGTTACCAAAGGATAGCTGATGTGAGATAGTGCAGTGAGATGAACTGTCAGTTTTTGTTTCTGTGTAACCCTGACTATCCTGGAACTCACTTTGTGCTTTGTAGACCAGACTGGGCTCGAACTCAGATCCTCCTGCCTCTACCTCCAGAGCTGGGATTAAAGGTGTACACCGCCAAGCCTGGTTCGGAACCATTAGTTTTTAAACTCCATCTTCTTTACAGCCCTTTTGCATCCTGGTAGACTTCATTACATTGTCTCCTCCTGATCTCCTGCCGCCCAACCTATTCTCTGCTCCATTTGCAACATGAACAAAAATCATTACTGGCTTGGCTGATTGGACAAACAATATGCTATTTTCTGGGACTCTGGTAAAGCTAAGAATATAGCTAGATTTGGCTTTTCTATTTCAACATTTTAACCCACCCTGGATTGGTTATCACTTAAACCTATTCCTGATACTAGGCCTGTCTCTGCTCAGCACTGTTTTAGGGAAGAAAATACTTTGCTATCTAGACGCTAATCCCAGAGATTTTGGTCCTTCTGGACTAGAGCCCTGAAAACTCATGCTATGAGTTTCCTTGGGACAGCTGTTTTGAGCACTTCTGAGAGATGTGCTTCTCTTTAGGAATATTGCAGGCCCTTTACTGTGCATGTGTTTTTGGGGTATGAGCAAGGAGGTGAGGCCCTGAGGCTGAGGATGAAGACCGTGACTCCAGAACTCCTACTTGGGTATACGCTTCCTCGACACTGCTGCTGTCCCTACCCCTGGTGGGGTTTACTTCTGAGCAGGTGCCTTATATGAGGTACCTTTTTCTCTGCGAGTTCAAAGCTGATCTGGTCTACAGAGCAAGTTCCAGGACAGGCTCCAAAGCTACAGAGAGAGAGAGGGAAGGAGGGAGAGAGAGACAGAGACAAAGACACATTGGAAAACAGGTTGATCTTCTTCTCTTGACTATAACACATTAACAACCATGCTAAGCCCCCACCTACCTGTCCTGTACATGCACACCTATACTCCAGCAGCCTACCCTACCCAACACACAAACCTACACTCAGCTGCACCCACACAAACACCTCATCTTTACAACTAAGGAAATTTAAGTTATAAAACAATGTTAGTCATTTGCTCTAATATATGCAGCTGGTTAATGACATCAAGTAGCTCCTCTGAGTTCATGCTGTTAACCAGTTGCTATTGAAAGGGTATATCAAACTCAAAAGAAAAATTGAATTGGCAACTTTTGCTTCTAACAATAGAGGCTTTTATTTTGTTCATTCAGGAGCACTGACAGTACTGCATCTGGCCTACAGCCTATGGGTAATTGGGTATGGTTGCCTAACATGAAATCTGTGGAGCAGATTGTATCCAGAATGGAGTGGACAAAGAGAAGCAAGATGGGGAGGGTGTAAATGATCATTCTAACTAGGCAGGAAGAGTAGGTAAAGAAGGAATGATAAGGAAAATTGATTTTAGAATTATATTGACTAATCTTGATGTCAGGTTAACGAGTATCGGATTTCTTCTATGAGCATTACAAAGCATGAAACATTGAACTGCTATGTTTAGAAGAACAGTGGAAAGTATGGCAACTGCTTGGGGGTATTTTGTTATTTGTAACTAA